ATATTATTTTATTTAATAGTATATACTTTATGATAAAATATAAAATAGGTACACATAAATTTTACGCTCATACTTACTCTTGTAATACATGTGAACGAATCGAAGGAAGCACAGCGGAATAATTGCTAATATCAATGTAACGAGGAATAGGAACTGAAACTATGAAAATAAGATAAAATTATTACATGTACCATTAAGTAAACAATTAATTAGAGTTGTGATTTGTTTTAACTTACAATATAAACTATGTTAACCATCAGTATTAACTTTGGAAGAATAGAAACAGATAACCATGATCCGTCAAGAGAAAAAGAATATGATACAATTTTCCTTCTGTTTTCATTATCAACTACACGTACCTAAAATAGAAAATAATTTTATTTGCAGAAACAGTATGTGTATGTGTATATGTTTTGAGCTAGTTGCTAATATATTAATTTTTCATAAGTAACTTAAAAAATATTTACTAAACTGTTATCTGATGAATACCCTCCTTGTATTTCGTCGAGTTCCATGGCAATATATAGAGAGGTCCATTTACATGACTACATTTTTGCCAAATATCATTATCTAATTGAATTTCGACAGTTTTTAACGGAACCGTAGAAAATGCTAGTATTCTAGAACAAGCAGTTTATAAGTTGAATTTCATAAACCAAATAATTTCATAAATAAGAAAACTCTTATGAGAGCATCAATAAAAAAGGGCTTACCTGACATGCGTGGATTTAATAATAGATTCCAAATTTTCTTTTTGTGGCATCATAAATAGCACGTTTTTTGGATTGGTGATTAATATTACAGGCCAATCATTGTGTTTTATATCAATAAATGAGAATTGGCCGTGATCTATTGCGGCGAGACGATACCTAGTAAGAAGCGTGTGTGAGATCTAATATTTGTAAACTCAATTAAAAACATTGATCGAGATAAAAATTTTGATAAAATATTATATAAATGGTGGAACATTTTAATTACCCCAGGCGAATATCTCAGAACTAAGAGAGATACAAGAAAAAGTTTTATATGAAAGTTGTAGGTTCTCTTGGGGAAAAAAAAATGGAAATAACGGATTTTGGATAGGGGCCACTACCAAGATCAGGTCAAGGTCAACATGAATTTTTTTAATGGAATCCTCTTTTTTTATTGCATATTCTTGTAGCACACCTCTCGAGAGCTTTCCAAAACACTAATAAAATATTTTTTCGTTAAGTACTTTTCGAGTTATAGGGCTCGAAAGTTACAGTACCATTGGCATTAGTATTACCCAAGGTGTCCGACCAGCTAAAAGCCTTATGAATGTTGTTTAGGATCATAACCTAACCTAACATGAATAACATTTTTCAAGATCAAAGCCATTGATGATTATATCTCTTATTTTCATTTGTACGTAAAAATGAATGTTCAGTGCTAAAATGAAAATAAGAGAAACAATCTCCAATAACCTTGACAAATGTTATCTAGGACATGATTCTGAAGAACATTCAAGAGGTTTTAGCCGTTGGTCGGACACCTTGCGTAATGCTAATGCCAGCGCTACTGTAACTTTCAAATCTTATAACTCGGAAAAGTATTTCATGAAAAAATATTTCATTATAGTGTTTTGGAAAGCTCTCGAGGTGTGCTACAAAAATATGCAATAAAAAAAAGGATTCCATTTAAAAAATTCATATTGACCTTGACCTGACTTTGGTAGGGTCTCCTATCCAAAATCCGTTATTTCCACCTTTTTTCCCCAAGAGAACCTACAACTTCCATATAAAACTTTTTCTTATATCTCTCTTATGGCTGTTCTACAATGTGCTTTTTGTTTTCTGTTTCTTGCTGTTTGTCTCTTGCCTTCTTGATCAAAAAGGCAAGAGACAAACAGAGACAAACAGCAAGAAACAGGAAATAAGAAGCACATTGTAGAACAGCCGTTAGTATTAATTGCTGCAATAACTAAAAATTATATATTTTTATGCCATATTTAAGAATATCTACCTTCATCTGTGCATGAAAACATTCTTTTGACAACTGATGTTTAAATACTAGTGTAATTCATTACAGAATACAAAATCAATGAATGCAATTATATATGAACAACTGTTATTTTTAAGTACATATATTCATCTTACATTCTATTGTCTTTCCAATCTGCTAATTCTAGCTCAAGAAAACCCGCCTTTTGTAAAGAATACATGTTGGGTACCATATTGCCAAACGTATGGAAGTGGCCACACAAATACACCATACTTTCTTTGTGACTACCTTTAATATACAACAAATTTACAAAATTATAACACAAACTAATAGTTTCATAAAAAAGAGATATAGTATATTTCTATATCTAAAATATATTACCTAAAATATTTCTAATATTTGTATCAGCTTGTGATATTATGCTGGATGTAGGATAATGCCCAAACACAACTGCATAAGCAGCATTGCTTTCTTTTGACCGATTAATTAACTGTTGTATCCTATTAATCTCATCCTGATCTAAAATACCAATGAAATTAAATGGCCTCTTAGGACCTGGTTTCAAGCAAGCATCAATTGCAATAAATGAGTATGTTTCAAGACCAGTATCAATATTATACATGTAAGATCTGGGATGTTTCTTTCCTTGAATAGAATAGTATAAATAATAGTTATTTTTGGAATCAAAATTGATGATGTCAAAGTTGTCTGAAAATATATTAACAGGTTTAGAACATATAATTTTCTTTGAGCAATGCTACACATGAATTTGTAGATGTGCAATTAGAATGTATACAGTTCTTACCATGATTTCCTCTGACATCTAACCATAAAACCTTCTTGCTGACATTAGTCTGATCTATTATGTATTTATAATGTTGCCATTCTCGGTGTTCTTGTTTAGAACCAAATCCATCTTTAACTATGGCGTCAGTCAAATCACCTATTAAAATATATAAGCATGAAATATTTTATTAAATCAACTTCTTTTATTAGCACAAATATGAAATATTATATTTCTTGTATCTGTAAAATATAAGTTACCAGAAGCAAGAACAACTCTAGGCTGAATAGAATTTACTGTCACATTACAGAATTCCTTGAACTCTGATAGCCTAGATGGATCCCTAAAGATACTTATATGTATATCGGTTATCTAAAGAGATAAAAAGCTATCATGATATCTCCATAGAATACAACTGCAACTTGCAGGGCATTGTCAACTATTCTAAATAATGGCATTGACAAACCTGTAGGAACCATATTAAGTGATTATATGAATTTGCTATGTTATAATACTTTGGTTCGGTCCATTGTATCTCTCCGTTATTGTCTCCCAAGGTTTCATCTGGAAAATGAGGATTGATGCTGATCAAATCAGCTATATTTGCCATCAAGATGGAGAATATCAGCATCAGGACCAGGAGAACAATAGTGGACTTTGATATTTTCATCGCTACGACAATATTTTACGAGATCGTGCGTTACTAGAGAAGATTGGGTAAAGTCTGGTCGTCTTTGCCTGCCTTGATCCCAGCGTACCACCGCGCTACTATTCACACTTATTTACATATGGAAGCTGACGTGCATGTACGTATCAGACGACATTTATTCCGGACAAATGAGCACGAAGGAAGACGATCGAACGATTTGGATCGCCCATGATGTCCCTCGCATTCACTGTGACAACAAACGAAAAATGTAACACGACTACAGATTTAGGTTCGCGACCGTAGCAAAAAAAAGGGGCTAAGTGACGTTTTACACATGATGCGGTTCGCGATAAAATTGATCGGAGAAGTTCAAAGCGAGACGAAATGCCGGCTCGAGTTCTCCAGTCAAGACTGCTTTATGCTTTCTAAACCAATCATCTTGCTGTTTACATTGATTCACTTGCTACGAGAGAAGGTATGTTTTAATTCTCAATCGCCGTCTTCTTTTATTATTTCTTTTTCACTGGTCGTAGCTGATAATTCGAATGAGTTGTAAAGTTTGTGAAAATACACATTTTCACGAACCGCTCAAATCAGAGAGAAATCTCAGTATCGATCATATAACTTTTTCTCTAGAGTGGAAACGTGAAAAGTGAAAATTTTTATGCATGCATGTATATACATATGTATGTATCATACATGGGTATCATACCGACGAGATAAGTGGAGTGTATTCCGAAATTCCGAACCGGGTTAAAGGGTTTCATACATGAAATGCATAACAGAGCATAAGTATAACATAAGACTGCTGGACCAATGAGCATCTAGCATAATGTCGCCATATTGATTTACATAAGATGCTCATTGGTTTAGCGGCCTTATGTTATGCTTATGCTCTGTTATGCATTTCATGTGCGATAGGCTTTAAGGGCTATCGCACATGAAATGCATAACAGAGCATAAACGTAACATAAGACCGCTCGACCAATGAACATCTTATGTAAATCAATATGGCGACTTAATGCTGGATGCTCATTGGTCC